CAACTTTAAAAGAAATAGATCTGTCTTGATTATTTAACAAATAATGCAAGTAAAAATTATCGGAATGCCCGGGGAATTTAAATAAAGGGGGAGGGTTAAATAAAAGAGGGGAATAGCATTGGTTGCTCTGGTCAATGACCTCTGTAGGGACCTAAATGGAGGAAATATGCCCCTTTTGGTCCCATTAGACCTCTGAACAGTGTTCAATACCATCAATCATTATATCTTTCTTACTACCTGTAAGGGCTGGGGGTTGAGGGCACCATTCTGTGGTGATTCCACTCCTGTCTAAGGAAGTGGTTTCTATCACAGGTTAGGGCTCAGGTCCCTGGGAACGCCAAGGTGGCGTACCTCAGGACTTGGGGCTTTCCCTTATATTATTTAACATCTATATGAAACTGCTAGTGGTTTGAGTTGAAGTGTCATCAATATACAAATGACACCCAGTTATACATTCCTACTCTAGGCTGAGCTGGAGATACTGTAAAAGTCCTGAACTGGTACCTGGAGGCTGTAAGGATCTGGACAGGGAAAAACAAGCTCAGACTAAATCCCACCAAGTCAGATTTGCTAGTTGTCCATAGACTTCTAGATAACTTAATAACACTGGCTCTAGCAGTTACATCTGATGGGACCACACTCACCCCAAAAGAGTTGGTTTATGACTTGGGGTTCTCCTGGACTCTCAGCTCCTACTTAAACAGCAGGAAAAATGTAGCTAAGGCAGATTTCACTGAGTTCCAACTCTACTCATACCAAGATTTCCTGGTGATAGTAACCCATGCTCTGATCACCATTTCGTTGGACTACTGTTATAGGGTCTATGTGGTTGCCTTTGGAGGTGACCTAGATGATGTAACTAGTACAAAATACAGCTGTTAGACTCCAGACAGAGCAACCCCATCAAACTAGAAAAGCCCCTATTTTGAAGTCACTTCCTTGCAAACTTCATGAAGTATGCACAGGCAACAGAACTTGTCAGTGGTTGCTCCCATTTTGTGAAATAGCCTACCCCCGGAGACACACATAGCCCTGGACCTGATGGTAGTTCACAAGCAGATCAATCTTTTTACACTCTGTTTCACCCTTGGTTTAATTTGTTTATTTTTATAGACATCCATGATACTTATTATTCTTTAAAATATTATTTTAATTTTGGATATTGCTTTGACCTTGTATTCTGTCCAGAGTCTACTAGGAATGAGGTGGGCTATAAATATGAAATAACTCATAGGAGTAGTTTGCCCCAAGCAGATTCTTCTGTAACCAATTATTTTGAGAGGTGACAGGCTTTCCTTCACTAGGTATGCTTAAATGGTGGCTAGATAATCATCTGTCAGTGTTCTTTATTTGGCAATGTCCTACTGAACATGGAATAATGACCTAAACGGTCCCTTCCAACTGTGCCCTTTCAGTGTTTTGTTTTTTGGGAAGGTTATTGGAACTATAAGATTTGGGAGTACACACTGCAATCAGTTAATCTGACTACTTGAGAATAAAACTCTAGAAAGACTGAATAACTGCAAAGGTCAACAGTACTTACATTTTTTCAATGGAGAGACCAAGTTCTTTTGCAGCATGCACCATGACATATTCATAACTGTCCAACACAGCTCTATCATGCCCCTTAACTAAAATAGCCAGCCTTTTATATAATATATCTGGCTCATCAGAAACAGATACCTAGTTTGGAAGCAACAAGAAATAATTCAGCATTTGTTTTCTAAAGATGTCACCCTGAATACAGTGATTATGGTATAAGTATAAATGATCCAATACATGTTAAAACAAATTGTTACTCCCTCACATTTTTTCAGTTCATACAAACATTACTTAAATCCTAGTTTAATTTTCCCCCCAATCTTTTTCTTAGTTGCTGGAAATGTACACAGTGAAAACTTTCACACATACCAATGGATTCTTTGGAGGCTGTTGAGTATTAGTATTGGCCCTTGAAGACTGAATCCACATCAAGTGATTATTTCTGAAATGTAAATGGGAAGTCTGTTCAGGTTAGCTTGAAACTGTCATTAGACATAAGAACTGAAAAGGCACAGCTGTCATACTGCATTAACTCAATGTGACAAACTTACTTAAGAAAGCTATGTTGCTTTAATGGAACTTTGCCTGCTACATGAAAATTTTCTGGCCCCTAGAAAATAAAAATTACATAGTTAATATTATATTAAGACAATTATGTATTTTGTCACTGGCAGTTTTCCAGAATTTGATCCCAGACCACAGATTTAAAAAATAAGACAAAGACAGAAAAGGGAAACAAAATTAGATTACTGATATTAAAGCCAATACAAATCTACAAACTACCTCTTCACTTGATTCTAAATCTTTAATGTATTTTGTTCACAGGCAACACTGTTTTAACAAGGCTGAATTCGTGTGTCTTGAGATCTAAATGGGTATCTCACCATCCACTCAGTCCAAAATATTTGCTTTTTCATGAACAAATGATTTGGCATTTGTGTGCTTTGGTGTTTTCTACAGCAACAGAATTTTTCACTGGAAGGGGAAATATTATTGTTACTTCCCACACTAAATAGCAACAATAGTTTATAGAACTTCCATTCATATGCCAGTCTTTTAGTAGTCATTAATAGTAGTGACACCTTGATATGGGGAGTGTTGTTACATAGCTTTTAAAAGCATGAAACAAAAATTCAATAAATAGAACTTTAAAAAAAAATCAGCCTAAAGCCAGTCATCAGGCAAATCTCACCCAGGACTGATGAAAGGCACAGAGAACTGCTAGTAAAAAGAGAAGAGAGCAGTAATTCTGCTCCTGTACGTATTTTCTAAAAAATATAGTTTTGCTCAGTTGATTGTGTCAAATGGATTGCAAAATAGCCTAAAGGAATCTAGGGACCATTATTTCAGATAAGTATAAGCCATGGTTATAAATTAGTCTAAAGGTTGACAAGTTCATCAATCCATAGTAATTGATCACGAAAGATTGAAACATTTCAATTGAAGATTCAAATTCATGAGCCCCCTTTGTTATTATTTGTTAGATTTATATCCCACCTTCCTATAGATGCTCAAGGCAATGCACATCACACCTCTTCCTCCTCTTTTTCCCCACAACAATCAGGTGGACTGGACTGAAAGAGGGAGACAAGCCCAAAGTCATCCAGTCAGTTTCCTTGCCTGAGAGTAAACTAAATTCTGGGTCTCCCTGGTGCTAGTCTAGCAGTCTAACCACCACACACCACCCTGACTTATTACAGCAGCATGCAAGGTTTCCCTCTGCTACTGTGTCTTTACAACCAATCCCTAAGCTTGCTTAGGCCAAAGTCATCCCGTAACATCAAAGAAGTACTATTTAAAGCTATTTAGATGCTAGCATATTACGATTACTTATTTGAAATATAAACACTCAATTAAAGTTCTACTTTTTAACGGGGGAGCTGGGCCAACTACCCGACCACCCTTCCCCAACCAGGTGCCCTTCAGATGCAACGAACCGCAACGCTTAACATTCCCAGGCGGTTGGTTAAGATTAGTAATACAAGCCGCGCAGCCGGCAAAGGCTGGTGTATAAATCTGCTCCCACCCGCGAGAACCACTCAAACGCCGACATTACCTGCCATAGCCGACTTAAAAGGATGAGCGCCCCCCGCGCTGCCATCTTGCCCTTCCTTTCTACAATTTCCTATTGCCACGATACCATAGAGTTCACCTACTCAGGCTGCCTGAGCATCATTTCTACGCTAGAGCGTCTATTTCCGACCGCAGGATTCGACCATAAAAGTGAAAGTAGGGGGCGGTAAGTCCTCCTGGTCTGTCAGAATGGTTTCCTAGACCGTATACGAGATCGAGATGATCCCTTTGGGGAGACGGAAGAGTTTGCCGAGACAGCCGTTTCACTGCCTTGTTAAAAAAGATGGCCCATAGACGCAAAGACCCCCAGTTAATGTACTTTTAAAAGCGTGTGGGAACTATTCTTAAAAATTGACAGCAATTCTTCTGGGAGAAACAAGCCCGCACTGCATGTACTGCCAGGGATGGGGCGAGGCTGAGAGACGCACGCGCACGCTGGGCAGGGTCGGCGGCGGCGCAGCTCGGGGTGGAGGAGAGCCGTGGAATAGAGGAGGATGCTAAGAGGAAGGGTGAGAATAGGAGCCCCATTTTATCTCTGTCGCACAGCGGAGGCACCAAGGGCGCCTATGCCATCGCAGGGCAGCTCAGGAGGTTGCGCGCCAGGTAATGGCGTAGCCGAAGCTCTCGTGGGGACGTCCCCATGGTGAAATCACCTTGTACGGTCGTAATCACAGCTCAGATCGGTCGCTAGTCCCAAACACATCTTAATAAAAGGGCTTAATCGACCATGACTGGCGAAACGCTTCTACCAAGAATCAGGATGGTCGGCCTGCGCTTTACAGCGCCGTCCTCGCATTTCCGCCCAGTTCTGAGCCCAAGGCTTAACGCTCAGGTTGCAGCGAAAATAAATCTGGTTAACTGGCGCCTCGACGGACCGCTTGCCCCGACCTCTCTCTCGCCGCTCGAGTTCAGCTGGCGACGCGTGGCTCCGTTCAGTCGCGTGGCACCAGCGCTTTGGGCGGCGACCGGTTTGTAATCGTGAGAACGCGAGGTTCCAAAGCAACCCGTAAATCACAAAACTCGCTTAACTATCTATCCTTCTGTGGTCGGGATGGGCGCGCACGAGGAGCTTCGGCACAAGAGACCGGAAGAAGGCGGTAGAGCAGAAAGCCGCCAGCTGCGTTTATGGAACGCGCTTCCAGCAAGTAACTTTAGAAAAACTCTTAAAACATTCAGTGTTTCTCAAACTTGACAACTTGCTGGCTGGGGAATTCTGGGAGTTGAAGTCCACACTTCTTAAAGTTGTCAAGTTTGAGAAACACTGAATTAGACCAAGTCATCTAGCATAGGTTGGCTGTTCACATAACTACGAGTGCCTTCTTTACATTTTAATTCATTAAAAAATGCTTTTCTTCCTTATTACTTTTTGAATTAACCAGCTCCTGCATTAAGCACCCTTTAGTACATATACATTCTTGCCTCTTGCTCTCCCACCCCAGTATACATAGAAAGCCCTTTGAGGTCCACAGAATGGGTTGTGAGAATCCAGATTAAAACCGTTACAAAGCTCTATATTGATCTGTCGACAACTGAAAAACGTTGATGGGGTGGACTAGGAGGGGTTGGTACCATGGGGTGTGTGTGAAAGAATGTATGGATTCCTTGGCCTTGGCATAGGAGTTGAGGGTGGATAGAATTTGGGGGAGAAAAGAGGGCAGATACTGAGGATGTACAGGTGTGGCAGCAATCTGTGGGTGGACTGCACTCAGAAATGATGGGGCTGCTGGCTGAGAGTTATCCTACTGTCCAGTTCTTTGTATTTGCCCAAGGCCAGGTCACTGGATCCTTGGTGACCCTGGGTTCTGGCTGCTGCTTCTGAATGCAAGATAGGATTGTAATAAACCTGCCCTCATACAGGATCTAATAATGGACAAGGCAGCTGACCTATTATGTATAACTGAGACCTGGGTGGGCCAGAGGGGGGAGGATATGCATCCACTTTGGTTTCCTGACTGGCACCAGCGAAATGGGGTGGCTATTGCCATCCAGGAGAGCTCCATGGCTTTCAGGGGCTCTGCTTCAGAGATAACCGGCTGCGAGACTCTTTTGGCTGAAGCTGGGCACAGGAGAACCACTGGGTTCATTGCTGCTGTACTCCCCTCCCTGCTGTGCATCATCCCTGCCTGATCTGCTGCACTCCATCCCAGGCTTAGGAGTGGAATCCCAAGGCTGTTAGTTCTTGGGGACTTCAACTTGCCCCCCCGTGACCTGGAATCAGGAGCAGCTCAGTTCTTGGCCACCACTGACCTGACCCAAATCATTGATGTACTGAGATGGGCAGTGACAAATTTGAAAATACACACACATACAT